TTTTAATTTTATGTTGACTAAATTCGGTTGTGTTATTATCAAAAGAATATTTTTTTTATTTTTTAAGATTTTATTTTTATGTGCAGTTAGAGTTACCATAGAAACAAGGTCATTTTAAACCCATCTTCAAGAAGTATTAATTATAGAATTTTTAAATCCAATTTTGAGTGACATGACAAATATTTAACAATGTATTCTTTCTCTAGCTTGATTTTTTCCCACAAGGCCATTCCAATTTTTTTCTCTGTTTAGCTTCCACCCATCTTTCAAAAACCTAACTACCTATTCGCAAAAAAACACACAAGCCCAAAAATAAAACAGAGACTTAAAAGTCATAAAAATGACGTCATTCAAACGGTTTGATTTCATTAATCTATTTTTCTAGAACAAAGATCTATTCTTTAGCAAAATCGAGGTATTAAATGCTTAAAATACACCTAAAATGACATATTATACACAAATATTTAGAGAGTTTGTCAGAATTCAAAGATTTCGACCAAAATGTTCAATTTCAGGACTCCTGATTTTGTTTTTTTGTTGTTTTTTTTTCTGTTATGGGGTTTCTAAAAACAAGGCGCAACGCGGACGCTAAACATAGAAAAAACTTGGACTGGCCCAACTTTGCAAAAGAGTTTTTAGATACACAATATTCAATTTGTATTGTTTAAATGATATTGTTGACGTTGTGATTGTAGGGAGATAGATAAAATACTGACCTAATACACCCTTTTGGATGCACATTATGTTAAATTCTGCTCTAAAACATTGATACTTGAAGTTTTCTAAGTTGTCGTAAATAAATATCATTTTTAAAAGTTGTGCCAGAAGTAGATTCTACAACGTCAACAAAGAACATATTTTTGTATAGCCAAATCCCAGCGTAAGAGAAAAAAAATGTTGAGTACCACCTAAGTCACTTGGCAGCTACATGTCATTGTGTATGTTGCAGTCAAAGCATTTTGACCCAAAGTGTTCATGTTAAACACAAGGTAGTTGCTTTGCTTGGTTTGTTACACGTAAACAATTAACAGTTCTCCTTTAACCTCATAGACACGAGACGAAACGCTAATAGAAATGATCTAGGTAATAGGCGACATTCTATTCATACAATATATTTTTCTATGGGCCCTAATTCTTGGATTTGATTTGACGAATTTAATCTGTAATAACAAATTTTAAAAATTTTTTTAAACGAATTTAATTTGCTATTATAACAAGTTCTAGAATTTGTTTAAACAAATTTAGTCTGTTAAAACAAATTTTTGAATTCGTTATATCGAATTCAAAAATTGTTATAACGAATTAAATTCGTTATAACGAATTCGACTATTCGTTACATCGAATTCAAAAATATTTTTGATAGGCTTCCTTAAGAATTCAATCAAACGCATTTAATTAGTTATAACATGTTTAAAAATTCGTTTATACGTATTCAATTTGTGAAAACAAATGTTGGAAATCATTTAAATGAATTTAATCTGCCTTTAAAGATTTCAAATTCGTAATAACGAATTTAACAAATCTGTAATAACAAATTTAATTCGATATACCGAATTCAAATAATTGTTACATGTAAATTCTGTAGGAGGAGTTATCAGGACAAATTGGCAGCCGCCTGTCCGCCATTTTCATCATTTCAATAACCGGATTTTTTCTACAGAAAACGGTTAAAAATGAATTATAACCTAATATTTCAATCTATTTTTGAGAATTGTAAGAATTTTTCGCCATGTTAACAATTACAAGTATCTAAAGAGTTTCAATCTAAATGTGTGCAAATACATGTATAAATTTACAATTAAAAACCCTCTCTACACTGTACATTAAAGAGTTCTGATTCTATGGTATTTTTCTGCAGTTAAAGTGATCTGCCCTTAGATCTAAATTCTAAAAAATAGAAATTTACAGTAAATTACTCAATTTGTAATCAATTTAGGTATTCTTAACATTTTAAAAGGCCAAGATAAATTAACTGAACATGTTATTTACATGTATTTTCTCTATGGAAGTAAACGAAAGTGATTTCTATTCACTGATACTGTGTTGTGTTTAAACATTTTTCCTGGGGGTAAATGCCAGGTACCATATAGTGAAAATTAAATAGATAAGCTCAATATTAACACCTTTATACAATATATTTTTCTCAATGTCCAAAAAACATTTTGCACTGGTGTAGAGAGGGTCCTTCACCTACCACATCCTGTGATTTAAGAATACACTCTCCAGCCTGTCAATATTTTGGGCTTGAAATGTTTTCATTAAAGAGGGACATATGACACTCTTAACCATTTATCACCATCTTAAGAGGCCAGTGACTGCTCCTAATAAGTTTTATTGAACTAATTAAAATTCCAAGACACCGATGTCAGTTGCACTCCAAAACAATGTTTTTATATTAATTCTTGTACTTTTGGACATTTCAATTTGTGTCAACTTGTTTTTCGTGATCAATTTTACTTGCGTATAGCCGACTCCCACCAAGATAAGTTCAATGTGCCAGAAATTCAATGGTTCTAGAATTCCTAAGGTTGTCAAACGTAGAATATTTGCGTCTTCAAAAAATTAAATATAATTTTCTGGTACTGTTGATTTCCAAGGAGAGAAAAAAATAAGACGCAAAAGGTATGAATATTCACATTAAGGAAACTATCAGCAGAAAAATTCGAACCGCAATATTTAATGTGTTCTGTAGATTAAAATCATCTCGTTATGAATTAAAAAAAAAGAAAAAGGATGAAAGGCATTTTTTTCTTCAAATAATTACTTTGCAAGCGAGAAAAACTGATGACTTTGGTTTTTATGACTTGAATACTTTCAACCCTTTAAGAATAATTTCAAAAGTAAATCCCGTGCATAAATATACAGATTTTCCGGTATTTCTGGTACAGGTACACGCAAAACAAACCAAAAACAACTGTATAGATGACGTACATTTTATTAGATTTACAAATAAACAACTGCTGAATGGAACATACCTACACGAAATATAACAGTTATTGTTAAACATTAGTTATACTTGGTCATAAACTTGATAAGAAGTGTTTTGTTAGAAATTCAATTCTTTTTTATGGCGTCAAGAATTCCAACTTTATTAAGTGTTTTTCCTTCGTTATACACAAAATGTCGTGTTTCCTGGTAGTAAGCTAGATAGGATATTCACTAAATCAATCATACTTTCTGGACCATTCAAAATCTTCAATAATTTTTCATTAAGGAAATCTTAACATTAACACTTTTTTTCACATAATTAGTGGCATTCCTGGCGTCATGATATTATTATGGGCCACAATTCTTTCAATACGTCAAAATAAAAAAGATGAAACGAAAACACATTTTCAAATCAATTATCGTTATAACTTGTGTGTTATCAGGAAATACCAAGAAATCGTCTGATTTTCTAATAACCTATTTATTCTGGTCAAAAGGTTTGCAAATTAATAATTAGTACAGCATAGGGAAAATTTAACATAATGAGAACATCGGGCTATTTTGCACATCATATTCAAATTTTAGAGCAATATTTTTTACCAGTATTGGATTTAAACCAACTTCAATAGATATCAATATGTCAGATTTAGACAAAACCATATTTCTTTCAGTAAATTTCCCAAGACAAACCGGAAAATTCATATACTCAGCATATACTTACAGTCTATTATATATAATAAACGCAATATCACTGTATTCTTATTAAATGTTATATTGTTAAAAGTGACTTATAGGCCCGATGGGCCGGGTGTTTAAATTCATCTTATTTGTATTTTTGCTGTTGTACATGTAATTGTACGTAACACATGTCACTATAATAAACCATTTACTTACTTACTCATGAACTTATTTCAAAGTAATTTTGGGAATAATGAAGAGCACAAAAAATCATTAAAAAAATATGTCATGTCATTTATAACCAGGAATTCTCAGACATGACCATACTTCACATGGCCGTAAAATCGGGGGGGGGGGGGGGCGCCCCCCCCCCCTAATTTTGCCGATATATAGACTACTATAGTAAACATAGATACTATATGCTTGTGCCCCTCAATTAAAACGCCTGATGACCTTTTTTTTTTTTGCTTGTCGGGAAAGAAGTAGGTTCACTTTATGCATAAAATGGCCCTGTGGATATACCAATTTATTGACTAATACCTTATGTTCCATTTTAAACATCAAGATAAAGTAGAGACTTAGTGCTTTCATTTCCTATTAAATTTTTTTCTCCTTAAAGTGAAGGTCTTGGAAAACAAGCTTTATGGAATTGCAATCTTCTTGAATTTTAAGGAAGACAGGTATATTTAAATACTTTCAGAGAAGAAAAATTCTTGAATTTTAAGGAAGACAGGTATATTTAAATACTTTCAGAGAAGAAAAATAATATGAGCGCACCTCTGATCTAAAAAATAAGACATGTTTTGCAATTCTCAGAAACGGTTCTATCAGTAAATAATTGCATATTTTAGATCAGAGATTGCGCTCTATATTAAATATCGAAAAATATCTTTAAAAATTGGCTGTTTTTGTGGAATTGTTCAGGATATGAGGAAAATGACGCATTTCATGACGTCATAATGCATTGACTAGCCAGAAAATTACGTCATTTTTGGTAGATTTGCAATCACCAAATGTCTAAATGAAATTTAATGCATTGTCAACTAAAACTAAGCAGTTTCAGTTTTTCAGAAATTCACAGGGCCAAAAAAGGCCCTAAGTGAACCTTGTTCTTTCTGGTAGTGTCCCTCAACTGTCAACTGAAAATGCATGGCTGTACCCCCCCCCCCCCCCCCCCCCCCCGAAAAAAAAAACTGGATCTGCTTCCTACGGGCCTGCTTCAGAACGTACCCAGTTACATCAGAACTAAGTGAAAATTTACTCTTCATTTGTAATTGCAGAAACTGCATTCTTATTAAGAAAAAAAATGAACTTGAAATATACATCACGAACAAATTTAAAAGACCCAGATGACATGAAAAAAAAAAAAAGATGACATGAAAAAAAAAAAAACATTCAAGATTTTATGTTTTATTTTTAGCAGACAAATCACTTTTGTTGTCCATTTCAATTTCCAGAGATCCATCTTCCAAATATCTTTTAACCTCTTCTCCTTTTTCTGCCAAGATTTCCTCTATATTTCTGAAAGTAAATCAAAGGCGGTACATGTAAGACTAAAAATATATTTTAAGTACAGAAATTGTTTTGGATTGGCATTCTTACTCTTAGTGAAACTAGCTAAAATGTAAAAGGTGCAGTTAACAAAAAGTTATCAATTTCATAAGCACAAATTTTCAAAAAATAAACAATTTATAAATAGGATGCTTAAAGTGTACCTGTAAGGCTTAAAATTTGTTTATATTATGTAAATTTTAAAATTCTCTTATGTTCTCATCCCAGCTGAATATGAGTTGCTTCCAGTAGTGAAAATTTCAGACAGTGGAAAATTTCTACAGGATGTGATGGGAAAAACTGGCAGAGGGGAAAAAGTTTTAGATATACATGTATATTAAAAAAGCAAAGCATAAGAAAATTAAATTATAAAATTAGAACTATATATCTTTCCGTTTTCAGTTGACCAAAAGTGATAAAAGAATTAGAAAGACTACATGAAAAATTTGTTTTGATAGGGCTCATCATGCATCATGTTTTATATTATATTTGCATGATTTTAATTCTACAACTGTTAATTCAACTTATACTCAAAGTTCCCTTTCAAAGGATGAAATACTTCAAAATCAAGAGTTATCTACTACCAAAATTAAACTGCCATATTGGTAGAGGAAAGTGTCCTGTTCTAAAAAGCTTAATAAAAGTTTCCTTGCGTACAGTTCACAAGTATTTTTAAAAACTACGATCTTTCCCTGATCGATTGATTATCTTAGAGTGTTAACTGTTACACTCAAGAAAAATTAAAACGAAACAAAAGAAAATGTGAGGTAGCAAAAATTCTCTGTTTTGATTCTTCCCTTGTGGATTTTATAGTATAGGAGTGATCAAATTAAAAGAACACAAATAAGTCGTGACGATCCCCTGTGGTATATGGGTGGCATTCTACATGTGTAACTGTGACGAGGGCCTGTCACCAGGCACAGTTACATTATTCTAAACAGGGACCTATATACTTGTCTAGTATATAGGTCCCTAATCTAAACAGGATTAAGTGAGTTAAATATGTTTCAAGAAAGATTATTCTTTTTGCCAAAATCCTGAATTTTACCTTCCTTTGACATGCTTGAACCAGCCAATATTGTCAGCAATGAGGTGATTGTTCTGACATCCCTCACACTTAATGATAACAACACCTTTAGTGTATGCAGTCCTAGAAAATGTTTTAGAAGTCCTTCTATCACACACTTTACAAGTAAATTGTATTGCCATTAACTGTTTTAATTGTCCTAAGGGTGTGTTTGAGTCTGTGCTGTCTGACGACATCCATCTTGCGAAGAAATTTCGTGAACATTCAATTGAAGGAACAGGTCTGAGACGATTGATACAAGTACGTTGTATGGTCGACACATTTGTATAATTGGTAATAGGAGAAAACTGGCGATAAAAGTTTTTCCTTGGAAGAAATGTTCTTGACGCAATTAAAAGAAGATTCCTATTCATTTCATCAACTCGACAACTCAACTGTACAACACCGTCATGAATACGCAAAATTTAAGCTACTTTCACTTTTCAATTATTTGAATGTCGATCCCGATCACACAAACAGAGCAATTTGAGAAGGAAATATTTCCATCAGAATAATATCATAAAAAAATTGTCTAAAAAGTTAAGTTTAAGCTAGTAAAGAGATCTTTTGGGGGAAAGTAAAGAAAAATATCCGTGAGGAATTTTTTGTAAATGTTAATTTTTGAAAATAAATAGTCCATCTAAATAATGTAGTCTTTTCCGAAAATTCTTATTTTACAGGTGGATGTAGATAAACACAAGTCAAATTCTACTGAGAGTTTCTAAATAGTGCAATTTTGCTCATGTAAAAATGAAAAGATATTCAAATTAATAAAATTAATCAATTATAACTTGAGGACACAGAAATCAAATAAGACAATGTATTATTTTGTAGAAAATAATGTTGCCAGCATACTCACACGTGCAAAGTTTTGTAACTTAATCATTGAATGAAGTAAGTATAACCAAAATTAAGTCATTGATGTCATATGTTCATAGTTGATTATGCTGCACATTTTTAAGTCCTCCGTCAAAAAGTCATCTTAGAGTCAGAAGTTCATTTTTTTTTTCTCTCTGTAAAGAAGAAAACATTGGAACAAGTACATGTATGTGTATTAGGAAAGCAGATTAAAGTAAAAATTTTGACTTAAAATTCTTTACACAAATTACATAAGGCATTGCACTGGTATCATGGAGTACATTAAATATGGCCCTCCTGCTTTTCATCGGGAGATGAATGATGGATTGTTGTTCTAAATTGTAAAACTTTTTTGTCCAAAATATACCTGATACGCGAAACATTGGCATACATATTTCAACCTCAAAGTTGGTTTTAAAAACTCTGTAACAATTTTTCTCTTGAAGATGATGAAGATCACCATCCCACATAAATCTTCTGAATGTTTGACGTTGCAATAATCCAATTTACATTAAACAAGTTTGATACCATAATGGCATTATATTACAAATGCCAGAACTGTTTAAAACTAAAGTGTTCCATGCAAGGCATGTGTCGCCTGGTATAATATCATTAAAGACATAAATAAAACTAAGTTGTGTTTGTCTTTAGTTATTTTTTTTAAAAAATATTATGATAGCATTATTATAGTTAAAGGAAAGAAAAAAAATCCACGGATAGTAAGACAACCATGAATATTGTAATACCTTTAAAAACCACTTCCTTTATAAATCTAAACCTAAAAAGTCTAACATTTCAAAAGTGTTACTGAGCGGTCCATTGTTGTCCAATATGTTGGTCGTTAGACCGCTGAGTGAGATATTGGACCTGTCGATGAGATGCTGGACCGCTGTGACATTTTTGTTATGGAAGGAATCAGTTAGATCTTATTAATTATTGCAAACAGGAAAACCAGCACAAAAATAATAAAAAAGTAAAACGTAAAAAAATACATTCATTTTCTGAGTTCTCGGGCAAAATGCATTTTGTCGACCCCTCGAACCAAACCGTTTGCCTTTAGCCTAGCGGCTTCAGGCAAACAGTTTGGTTCTTGGGTCAGACTTGACGCATATTGTCCTCGAACCCAGTCTTAATGTATAATATTTATCGTAAAAGTTACAGTCAATATAAATCTAAGTCAAAATGACTATTAATAAAAATAAAAACCACAACTACTATTTTTGTTTCTTTTTCCTCAAGTGGGAGTCGTGGTACAAGCCACTGTATCGTGTTTTTTTGAAATGCTAATGGTACATGTACTTAGGCTAGCTAACTATTTTTTATAATCCATATAGTTGAAATAAAAATTCTTGAGATTATACGGATATAGATTTAAGGAAGGATACAGGTACAAGCATGATTTATTTCTGCGAGTTATACAGCCATACTGATTTCTGATTTTTTTTTTCTCAAGAAAACCTCCATCCCATTACCAGTTTTTTTCTTTGTCTGTGAAAGGAAAAGGTATAATGTATAGAATGTATTTCAAGTTTCACTGAGCTATTCAATTAACATGGGAGGTGGGCATCAGATTTGATAATTTATTCTGTGTTTCAAACATGTTTTCTCTTAAACTAAACGAAATTCAATATACATGTAGTCTACATAGGTCATTGTCATTAAACTATCAAAATTTTCATAGTAAATCAAAATATTGAACACTTTTGTAGTATACTTTCTGAAGGATTACAATTATCTATCAACAATATTTATATGGATGGCACGTATTTTCAAGAAATATTTTTGAAATTTTAAGGTGAATATTTAAGAAGACTTCTCTGAAGTCTGGTGAATTTTAAATTCCCAAGGGAGAAGGGGGGTATATTTTGACATATCAGATTAAATGAAAATATCATTATTAACATATATCTATAGTTCATAAAATAAACTGAAGAGATTACAAATATATGTTAAAAGGAAGGATAAAAAAGATAGTTCTCTCGATATAAAAATTTTATTGAAATTCAACTTTTAAACTTATCAATAGAAATCAATCATTGTTAATGTTTTTCCATTCTTTTATTATCGGCCGCAGCAGCGGCCCATCTATTTGTGGTTGTGTTAGGAAGTGCAGATGGGGAAATGAGATGTAATATTTTTATTGTCTCGATCGAATAACTTTTTATTGATAGCATGCATAAAACTTATGGATAAAAAAAATTAGAAAAATGTTTTACATTATGCATTCAATTTTTTGGTCATTTTTAACAAGCTATATTTATACATGAATTTATAAAAAAAAAGTTTATACAATAAGTGCACCCTAAAGTAGGAGTGTAATGTTTAAAGTAACTCGATACAAGTTTCCGGATTATTAAAAAAGAGAAAAATTGGCATTAAATTTCGTTTTGAGGCAACTTATTTTCTCGACATTTCACGTTTTGTGATGCTCGTCATCTGTGAATCTATGTCATGATGAGGCCGACAATAGATCCAGGGTATCATCATCATGATCAACACGTGAAAAAAATTTGCGGCCGATTTGATGATTTGCATCAATAAATTATCTTGTATTATGTTTTTGACAGCCTGCAGTCGAAAAATGTCTTGAAGTACATCTTCCCAAAGGATTCTTAAGATCGATATGACTTCCAATTCCCAAAGGTATGTTACATCATAACTTAAAAAGTAAAAAGGAATTCGAAGTTCTTTAAACTTATGTGTATCAATAAATTATCTGTTAGGATTGTTGTTTAAGCAACAATGTACACTAAATTGAAATTAGAGTAATTGACCATATTTCTTTTTGCATTTATAAATTGTTCACGCAAAAGTATTTCTGATTGTTGCATTAGTCTAAGATTACTTATAAGAACTTACCTACTAAAATACTCATAAGTTTGGCTTTTTTCAAATACATCAATGCCTGACGATCTGTTTCAGTGAATAGCTCACGCCCATACAGGTACAGGTGAAATTTTTGGACTGCCGAAACAATCGTCAAGCATTCTTTTTCTATTATAGAATACATGTACTTAAATTCACAATCCTTCAATTTTCGACTAGCAGCCGCTACCGGAAGTTTTAAACTACTTTGCTCGTCAAACTGCTCCAGGACCCCTCCAATTCCTCTATCCGACAAGTCTGAAAAAATTAACTGTTTTTATCAAATCTGGCAGTTAAAGGATTGGATATTTTACAAGCATAACCTGTAGAGTTTGAAGTGATTTTTCCTGAGACTGATTCCAAAAAGTTCTTTGTGACCCCTTTTTGTCAGATCAATGAGGGATAGTGCCACTGACGAAAAATTGGTAATGAATTTCCTGTAGAAAATAAGGAGTCCCAGAAGAATTCTTTAAAAACTGTCGTTTTGTGCTAGGTGCTGGCGCCTCTTGAATTGCTCTTACATTGTCTGGTTGTGGTTTTATTTGGTTCCCATCCAAGAAATGGCCTGGGCACTGTAAACGCTTGTACCCTTTTGAATATTTTAAAAGTTTTACTGTCAAATTGACATTTCGTAGCCCTGCAAAGAGTTCGTAAAGGACTTCCAAAAAGTGAGTTAAGTCTGGTGAAAAACAGTGATCGATGAAATTGTTAATTTTTGACATTGCGTACAAATAATATGCATCAATTTTGGAAACTTCGCCGGGGCTGTCAATAAACCAAAAAGCATCACTCTAAATTGTAAGAGGCCTTTAGATGGTTGAAACGCTGTTTTAGGTTTAGCTGACGATGTTAATTGAAGCTGTCAGTAGCCTTTGGACAGATCAATCCTTGAAAATACCTTGTTTGCATTTTTGTTTTGTTTGCATATTTAACCCTTCGAGAATTTTTCACTCATATTGAGACGCCACCACTTGCCGGTGGAGTGCTGCAAATTTAGAACTATACTCGGCACTCAGGACCATTGAACAGTGGATCCTTTTCGTGCAAACTTTAAATTTCATCTGCATTCTGTCTACACAGAAACGAAAAGTGTTATCCTTTTTTCTTTACAAGTACCACTGGAGAAGAAAATGGACTTTCTGACGGTTCTATAACATTCAGTTTGAGCATTTTGTTAATTTCCATGACAGTATTTCCCTCATTGCAAAAGGAATTGCACCTGCTTAACTCTGATTGGATGGTTTGAGTTTATTTTAATATCGTGTAATATCGTTTTAATATCGTGTTCAATCAGATGTGTACAACCAGGATTGTCAGACAGTACATCAAAAACTGATCCAAATGTGACGTACCAATTCTCGGTTGATGTCCACACCTTCGGTGTCTCCAGCGCCTGGTATTCTATACTTGTCGTCAATCTCATCTGCAGCACAATCAATTACAGCAGAAGTGACTAAAGTTCTCATCTTGATCTATTTCCACTGAATCGGCATTCCTGTCAATGTACTTTTTCAACATATTTATATAAACGTCTTCAACTTACCTTTCATTTCAGTCTTTAAGTCAACTTTGTTTATCTTCTTAATAATGCTGAACGATCCTTTCCATTAGTGACTTATTTAAGTCAGAGTACAGCAATACTAAAGCTCTATCTCCTACCTTTATACTTCTTGCTC